GCCGCTGAGCGCGCCTTTGCCTCCCTGAACTTCTCGACCACTGTCTCAACGGAGGTACCAAAAGTACGGAAGGCGAAACCGGCCTGAAATGAAATTATTTCATTAACATCATCTGATCCAGGGGCCAGTGCCCTGCTGAGTTCAGCCCAGGAAGAGCAGGAAATGTCTGAGGAGGGCAAAGAAGCTGAGGCAAAGAAACTGATGTTACATCATCCTCCAGCGGCTCACTCTCGTCCACAGCTGACGATCACAAGAGGGAAAACCCCTCTTTAAACTCATCGGCCAGATCCACCTGTGATCCCCACGAGCTCATTCTCCTCCGTGCCTCAGCAGCGACAGTTCCTGAATCGCGGGCAGCAGATGGCTGCCCCTCTTTCCTCGAAAAGAGAGACAAACGAGAGCGGAGCTTTTTCATTGGAAAACGCTCACAGTGCACGCTGATTGCCCCATCGGGGACATCGCGTGCGTGCTCTTCGCCCAAACAAACAACGCATAGATCGTGTGTGTCATCAGATGTAAAATAATGGCCTGATGATCAAGAAGGCTCCCGCAGAAGCCTGTGACCTGGCCGCATGATTCAGGAAGCAAGAAGCCGAAACTAGGCTATCATACCGGCTCTCGGGTCACGACGAGGCGTTCCCCATAGCGACCCCTAGAGGACGCAGTTCGAAGTTCCCTTGAAAGGGAACTTTTGTTTATGTCTCTGAACCTATATTGATGCAGTAATTGTGTCTGTCTTATACAAGTACAAAGTAAATGCAAACAACCACTGCTTGGGAACCAGTGCTGACCTTCTATATATTTCTACCTCACAGAGTATATTTGTGTGTATTTATTAATGTACAATATTTATTTATATACATAGTGATTTACCTGGAAAACCCCTATAGACTTCAACCTCACAGACTGTAAGAATCCTGCCATCTCCAGGAATAACGATGTTCACATAACGTCCCTCCATATCGGGACACGAGTAGCTGTGGGACGCTCCTCGTGGAATGCTAGTAATCACAGCACATCTAGAGAGAGTCAAAGAGATGATTGAAAACACACCAATAATTTTGCTCAAGATGTAATAAAGGAATACAGTAGCTTGTTGTGCAGAGTGTATTGCATTAACAGGTTGGATCATCTGAAATGTTGGAAAAACTTCAGTAAAGGATATCTAACTTCAAATGAAAAAAATAAATATTTCTGTAGTAAAAAAAAAAAAAAATGCAACAGCAGTATTGTAAAAGTTCCATTTACATAATGATAATATATAAAACTTGCATTTGCAGAGCTTCAGGATATACATCAAGCAAGCCTTTGTCTGTTTTTCTGATTTTCAAATAGTTTTTTTCTCCAAATTTATATCTCTTTATTTTTTCAGGATTTTTAAAATCCTGACAGGAAAAATACTTCCGGATCAAATGATGCTGGAAAAATTTTGCATTCTGTTTTCATATATTTTTGAGAACTTTTTCACTTTTGTTTCTTTACTTGCATCAGACAATACTGATTATCCAACGCACTCTCATGGCAATTCGTATTTCTTTACGTTTTGGTAAACGGGTGGTTAATTTACGTTTTCATGTGTACGTTTTTGTGCGATCTGAAATCATACAAATTAATTCGAAATTGCCACCTCGTAAAACTGTTATGTTTTACCACACCGGGTACGTGAGTAACTTTCTCACATGGGATTGTTGTTGCCTTTGTTTTCCAGGGAGTTTCCGATGCGAATCTCCGCATTGTTGAGTCGTTCTGGACAGCAGTCGGCTCTGTTTGTGATAGTCACGGTTCTAATATGGTAATTATCCAGCAGATCCAGCCTCCACCACGGATTCATTTGCTTCCTTGAATGGGTACAAAATGAGGCTACACCCAGGGCGTATTTTATTCCATCAATGGCTTGATCAGCCCGGTAGTATTCAAATACAGACGACTGAGTCGCATTACCACGTAATTTCACGCTATCTGGAAAGTGAGTAAACTGCATGTTAGGGAACATTTCAAGCAAGTTAGTGCACATTTTTAGGCAAGCAAGCATACTCTACCAGTCAAACACTGAATACTGAACAAGTATCTGTTTCCACAGCAATAAGAAGCAGCACAACTGTTTTCAGCATTGATAATAATGAGAAATGTTTTTTGAGCAGCAAAACGGCATATTAGAATGGTTTCTGAGGAAAATAAACATTTTCTTTTAAAATCTTAAAAACATTTCACAATATTACTGTTTACTGTATTTTTTCATCAAATAAATTCAGCCTTAGTGAGCAGAAGAGAACATTAAAATCTTAAGTATTCCTACATTTTGACCAATATATATATATATAGTATTTTTTATTAGTCAAGAAGTACCGTTTCCATAGACTCTCACTTCACACAAAGTCAGATTCTTTGAATATCCAGGAATGACCACATTCAAGTAACGTCCTTGCATTTCACCGCATGAGTAAGAGACTGATTTGCCTGCTGGAATACCAGAAACTACCGCACATCTAGAGAGAGGAAAGAGAGAGAGAGAGAGAGAGAGAGAGAGAGAGAGAGAGTTCATTTTACTCTTGTAAT